TAAGGCCTAGCGCACACATGCAATTCTTAGTTGGCCGACAGCTGTGCACGATCGTGGAGGCCCAATGACTGTCGAGGGGCGTGCGCTCACACACAATTTCGAGTTGTCCACAGCTACGCCAATGAGCAGTCGGTCAGTCGCAGCTTGGATGTGTACGGTACGGCAGTAGTGTGTGCATTATTGTTAAGATTAAGGGAAAAGGGAAGCGGGAATATTGGGCTCGCCCTATTTATAGCGAACGTCTGTTAAAAGGAAAATTTTGCACATTGTAGTACCATGAACTGAGAATACCCATCAAAGTTTTTCAATTATTGCAGAATGAGTGTTGATAGTTTTGATGAATTGTTGCTTCTGCTGAAACCTCATATCTTCTACAAGAATACAAGATGGAGATTTGAGTTTAATATTTCTAGAATTATCATTGTAAACACAAAAAAAAAGTAAAAAGGCAAAGTACAGCTATCCCTGTAAGAGGCCGTGGAGGCCCATAAGGTTGTGAGATGTTGAGGTTCCCACATTTTCCAGACAATCGGCTTATAGATGGCGGTAAGGTTGTCAGCCTTACGCGCCGGCCGCCCTTTACACGCCAAGAACATTCCAAGAATATTCCTGGTACTCATTTCTGTCAGAGGCTGAGTCGACCACAGGACCACAGTGCGGCCGGAAGGATTGGGTAAATTGAAAAAATCCAACGACCTCATCGGGATTCCATCCCGCGACCTTCCGGCTTGTAGCACAGTGACTCAACCAACTACGCTACCACGTGCATGTGTACGCTAGGCCTAAAGCCACATAACTATATATTACGCAAATCGGGCCGAAGTTCCCCGATGAAGTTCTGCGCGGACTGGCATTACCTGCATGAGGAGCAACTTACCGATGGTGGTGAGCACAGTGGTCGCGTAGTAGAACGCCCCGGCGAATTTCCACTGTTTGCCCGCCTTATGAGGCTCCGTCTTGAGCACCACGGCCTCCATCACGCGGAAGTCGTCTTCCGATATGTTGTATTTCTTGATTACCATTTTTTCGAGCTCTGCAATGACAGAACACGTTGCTTACAACGTCTGCAGGTACACGTGGCAATTAAAAGACAAGCATTATTTTCTGTCTTTACTAGGGAGTATCCCTTTAGAGTCAGTTACTTTACGAGACTATAGTGTGACATGACCCATGAACGCCGGAAGTGTCAGAGAAGCATCGCAGGGAAGTCCACTGCTAGACAACGGCTCATTAAAACACGTATCCACGGCAACGGATAAGCTTGTAGAAACCAGAGCGTTGCTACGGAATTAACAGTTTCCACAGCAACGGATAAATACAGAATAACAGGGGAACTGTTAGGGGTGATGATCTCTATTCGGTTCGCCAAGAAGTTATAAAACGGGGATACTATCGCGTGGAGGCGGGGTCGAATACCTCCACCGTGACCCTGCGAGTCGTAGGAGGCGATGGAAAGGGAAATCTCAAATCTGAGACAGTAAAATAATGTCGCCAGTACCAAGGGACTGGAACCCGAGAAAGACTGCGCTGGCAAGAGCCAGCAACATATACAAAAGGCAGACCCATCCTCTCGACAGAGAAGCCGCCCCACAGAAACAAAACCGTAACTGCCAAACAATAATAAATATCTGGTCATGAGCCCCAACTGGGGCTCGACACCAAGACTTACTGACCGACTGTCAGTCGCAATGTGACTTGGACTTGGACTTGGAGGCGATAGCCTTGCGAGTCGTAAGTGGCGACGAAAAGGGAAGTATCGAATCTGACCCAGTGAAATATGGTAGCGAGTCCCACGGGACTCGGACCCGAGAATGACTGCGCTGGTGAGGCCCAGCAGCAACTGCAAACGACAGATGCATCCTCCAGTTAGGGAGGGCGCCCCATATAAAAAAAAACACGCAACTGTCTAACAGTAATAAAACTCTGGTTGTTAAGCAACAGATGGGTTCTTTATTCCAAGACAGACTGGCCGACTGACCGTCGGTCGTAACTTAAGACTCGACTCAGGTTCGTCCTTAGTTCATTCGTGAGTGGTCATTCGGCCGGCATTCGTCATTGGTAAGAGAGCTCAGAGTTCAGCAGATGAGTGGGGTTGTGTTCAGCTGTGGAGGGTTCACCAGAGAACAATGGAAGCTGATGAGGCGAACGATTTGTAAATCAAAACCAAGTCAGTCATAGTAAAAGAGAAAATACTCGTAGTCCAGTAAGAAATGGAGCGAGTCTTAGGCAGTCATTGATTGCGAGCTGTTATAATTGATTGTAATTGTAAAGCATATGGCAATAAATCCAATTATCCAATCCAGAACCTGTTATTATCAATCACGGAACCCCGGACACTTGACAATGTAGAAGTTCAGTACGTACCTCACTGGAAACACATTACGCCTCCGTTACGAAGCCCAACCGGTCAATGCTGTTTAGGGAAACAGTCGTTTATTCTGAGACTCACACGAAACGCACACACACACACACTCGATGGGCAGAATGTAGAGTTTTAGTATGTTAAAGCAGGTGGTACGCATAGTGACCACTTTAAGGGTTAAATGTTTTGTACGGTGTTGGAACTTGGTCAAGGGATGAAAGCAGACTAAGTATGTTTGAGAGCAGGGTTCTAAGGAGAATGTTTGGGTCGAAAGAGGAGAAAGTAACAGGAGGGGAGGGTTGAGAAAACGGAATGAGGAAATTCAGTTCTTACTACATGGCAAATATTGTTATGGTGGCGGGATCACGAAGCTTGTAGCATGCATGAGACACATGAAATGTTGCATAAAGAATATGCGTCGAAACATGTCAGGAGGACTGGAGATGGAGACGGAGTGTGGAGATCAGCGAGGGCGCTGTAACTGCATGGATGCAGTATACATAAACACAAGTAATCATATGATAAAACCCCCACTACTTTAACTAACTCCATGGAGCTGAGCCCTTTTCGAGAAACCGCTAGTTTCGCAGCTACTCAAATTACTTTCCAGCAATTTATGGAACTTGGTCTGTTACTGTGTTCACAAGAACCCTCCACTGGTCCCTGCTTTGAGCCAGATGAATCCAGCCCATACCACCCATCCTGTCTCTCTACTATCTATTTTAATATTATCCATCCACCTACGTCTTAGCCCTCATAGTGGTCTCTCTCCTTCTGGCTATCCCACCAATATCCTACATATATTCTTCTCCTCCCCCATTCGTACCACTTATTTCATTTTAACATCCAACATACAAGCAGCCTACGTTTAATCACGATAAATTTCAAACATAATGTCAACTTTAATAACAAGTTGTGCCCCAGAAGGCCACTTTCCATTTTTAGAAGACTATACATAATGCATAATAGCGAAGGGCTACGGTCTGGACGGCCGGGTTTCGATTCCCAACAGGGGCAAGACTTTTCTTCACACCATCCAGACCGGCTCTGTTACCCGGGGGGTGGGGGCAAAGAGGCAAAGACGTGAAGGTGACTACCCCCCCACCCCCCAACTAGTGCCGAGTTCAAGACTGATGGAGCCATAACTCCACTCGCCATGTCTTCACGGCACAGTGTTTAATTAAGCACAGGGACAACTTTTTACCTTCTGTGAAGAATGTATTGCTTGTATCAAACTCTGAGCTCAGCATTCTTACACTACAGAGACTGACGTCATCTTCAGTAGCACAAGCAGCGAGACGGCAACCTTACTCAAAGTCGCTGCCCAAATCACAGAAACAGCAATACGATGCGAGAGACTCTAGAAACCTAATTAGCTGTTGCCTACAAAAGTGATGAAGCTCGACAGTCAGCTCACAGATGGCAGTGAGGCGAGGTAAAGCTATCCCTGTAACAGGTCGTGGGGCTACGCCACAATATGAGAATTTGATAAAATTTGGTCTGTACCTGTATTGAAATAAAAAATACAGCAAAATTTGCTGTTGCTGTTTACGGACCTCTGCCTAGTAACGCCAATTGCATAGTTGCTTATTTCGCGAGCGTTGCCTAGCAACGGTCTACGTGCCAAAATATGTTCTCTTGAAGAAACAATCCTGGGATTTTTTATTTCGAAAATCAGGGACAGGAATGTCAGAAGTACTTATGTGTCATTCATATATTTCAGCCGAACTGAACATCGTCGGAAAAAATGTAACACATAAGAAACGTCCGTGTTGATTTGTTATCTTGGGAAAAAGGGCTGCATTTTCTATTTAAACAAAGAGGCACAGAGCGCCCAGGAGACTAATACGATACGTTCAAATGTTTCTCATATTATGCAAAGCCTATTTCTTTTTGTAGAAGCTGGAGGTTACTTGACAACGTTTTTGTTTTGTTGATTTCTTTATGTCTGTCGTGAAAAGCGAACTCCCATCACATTTCAAATTAATTTTAAAAACAACTTCAAATTTGTGCCACTTAGAGGTGTTCCATTCTAAGTGGGGCGCCGGACATACGAGCTATTCCTGTAGAAGCTGCTGAGAAGGACCTGACACAAGCTGACGTTCACAGCTGACCATGGCGTGACATATTTACATATGTATTCATTTTCAGCTAACTTTGTTGCATGGATAAAAACTGTACTCGTATATTGCAACTTCATGCATGCGAATGACCAGACATCTAGGCAGGTTTAGTGTGGGACTACAATTTCCTTTATATGACATGTCTCACAAAATTTGTGTCCTGAAGGTAAAGAGGCCGTGGAGGTCCATAGGGTTATGAGGCACCGAGGCTCTCACACTTTCTCTAGACATTCGGCTCACAGATGGCAGTGAGGTTGTCACCCTTACGAGCCGGCCGCCCTTTGCCTCCAGGAAGACTCCTGGTACTCATTTGTCAGAGGCTGAGCCGACCACAGGCCCATAGTGCGGCTGGAAGGATTAGGTAAATTAAAAATCCAATGATATCGGGACGCGAACCCACGGTCTGTTGGTCCACCACACTGAAACTAAGGAGGGGGGGGGTAGCAATACCTCTGACCTTCTGGCTTGCAGCATAGTGGCATAGTGCCTCAACCAACTACGCCACCGTGTGTCCTCAGATTTATGTCATAAGGTCCAGAAAATGGCTTGAGTGAAGGCAAGCACCCGGAGATGTTATCTGTGAGTAACAATCGCGAACAAAATTAGCGTCTGGAACTGCAGCGCAGATTTTTCTGCACGGGTAGGATCGCATGATTTTAATTCATTTTCACCAACTTTAGGTCGCAGGATGATTTAGAATCTGTTTACACTTAGCTCAGTCGGTATAGCGACTGGCTAAGGGCTGGACGGCCGAGAGGTCGGACTTCGTGTCTCGTAATGGGCAAGAATTTCCTCTTGTCCATGACTTACAGACCGGTTCTGTGGTCCACCCAACCTCCTATCCAATGGTTACCGAGGGCTCTTTCCCCAGAGGTAAAGCGGCCGGGGCGTGAAACTGACCACTCACTTCCAATTAGTGCCGAGGTAAAGAAAACGTGAATTTATACAACCACTCGCCCATACGTTTTCAGGGCGTAGTGCTTAATCAGTTAAGCACAACTTTATCTTACCTTATATTTAGGGACGCAAACCACCGACGATGAATATCTTCGATCAAACATAGCAGGTTTCTCACGTCTTCAACTCGGGTTCGATCCCAGGTCATGTGGGACTTGCAGTGGACACAGTGTTACTGGGGTGATTTTCTCCTATAAATTCTGATTACCTTACTAATTCTCACCCCATCAACTGCGCCATATTCATTCATCATCCCACAGTCGGACACTATAGAGCCTCGATACTAACAGCGTCGTTAAATAACCAACTTAAAAACTAAACGTTACTGGGATAAAGAAAGATAACAAGCTATATACCTTAGGCAATAACGTGTTTGTATAAAGCGCTGTGATTCCCATGAAACCACCAGCATAAAAACAAAAGCAACACTTCATTGAAGTGCGCCATCATATGCCTTGTCCAACCGTCTGCTATCGCCATGTCAGATAGATGTTAGTCTTGTATTTGTAAAGCCTTAAATATAGCTACACAGCATGGAGACGCCGCCCGTAACCGGGACGCAATTCCAAGGGTGCGTCTCTCTGTCTTCAT